CCTGAAAGAGAAAAAAAGATGCAGGTATCGAAGATAGCGGCGGTGATGTGGTGCGATGCGTTGCGGTCGTGCCGGGAATAAACAATAATTATACGTCGCGGGCCGCAAATTTCTATTTACGGTGCATGTGAGTTGCATTTACACGAATATCGATTTATCGTTTTAACGTGGAACGAATGTGAGAGCCGCGAAAGTCACGAGGAAAATATTGCATGCGAAGAAGTAAAACTGTAGAGCGAATTACCATTGGTCGAAATACGAGCATATTCGAGGGAATCGTTAAACGATATATGCGGAAAATTTTTGTTGAATAATGTAAAGCATACTAAAAATTTTTGTTCAATGATGTAAAGCACAATAATGATTTATTAGAATTATATTGCGTGACTAGGATATATTCATACTGAAGTTTGGTCAGATATATTTTTGAACCTGATTGTACGTGAATTTACCATACGTAGAAGAAAATATCGAAAAAGTAAAAGATATACTGATATATGCATTTTCAACGCAGCTTGAATTGCGCGTATGTTAATATGGGGAAAAATTGTATCTTGGTAACTATTGTGTAACTTTTAATATTATTGTGTTTGTAGGTTTATAACAGCAGAAACGAGATATTCATATTTATGTCATAGACCGTAGTTTCTAGGCAGCGATGTGCAACTGAAATCGTGCCGATCGCACTGTATTGCATGATATTTACAAGGTAAATATTATCTGAACAAATAGTAAAAGTGTAATTTTTATGTTATATATTTTATGTTTTATGCCTAGTAAAATTAATTATTTGCATGCAGTGTACGGTAAATCGCTAAAACACGATGAGTAATGACGAATACCAGGTAAGAAAAGTATAATACAAAATTATAAGGTTATTTTTAAGATAATATTTTTTGCTTAATTTGGCTTTCGAGTTAATGCCGCGTCTTTCATGGATTTGTTTCAAATGTGTCATGAACATTCCAGTTCACTTCTTAGGAAGCAGTACGATCTGAAAATCATATCTCTCTCAAGTCGACTTTTCTGACCAACTGCTAATTATAACAATTTATGTGACTGTAAATTTTTTATGAAATTAATTTTTATTATTAAAATGCTAATGTATTTATATACAGTTTAATAATTAACTCTTCAAGTTTTTATTAGCATTACAACAATGCATGATATAAGAAAGACATTCACACATACACAAATATAGGAATTTCTTTTAAGTGCATTTCAAGATCATTAAAAAAGTCTCATTTCCTTGAAAAATAATAACTTCTGCATACAGTTTTATTTCTTGTTTTCTGAATCCTATATTGCCTTGAAATTGTTTTGACGTTAGTACAGTCGGTTACAGGACGGTTGCAACAGTTTCTTTTTATATACTTCGGGACATCCAAAAAATATCATAATGAAGCGAATCTGTAATTCACGAATATGCGCGGTAGATAGTCAGCTGTCAAAATTACATATGCAATTATACATATACATATGTAATTTTGAAATATGCACATCTAATTTTGACAGCTCTTTGGCCATCTATTGCGCATGTTCGCGAATCACAGATTCGCTTCGTCATATTTTTTTGTGTTTCGACGTAAAAAAACTTATTGTTGCAACCGTCTTATACATCCTAGCTGGGCAACTATGGTATTTTTTTGGTTTATGAATGTTTATATCTTTGAGAAAAATTCTGCTTATATAATATAAACGACAGGGAGATATCTCTGGCGACGAGCGAGTGATGTTTTGGTAGAATTAGATGCAACATATCGCACGCGCGTAATGTGGATAACCGTCGATTCAATTAACACGAATGCTCGTTCGGTGTCTCGTAGCGATTGATGGAGGCGTGTCTAATTAGATCGATTCTCGCTACCGAATCCGCCGTGGGATAATACAAGCAGACACGGTAGCGCAATCCATCTTGCCCGAGTCTAAGTTATATAACTTTATGTAACTTGGCACAAAGTAAACCCGTGTATCGATTTTGCGCGTCCACAATGCACGAGATTGTGCTTTACGTATCGAAGAAAAAAGAAACGAGAGAAAAAAAGAAATCCACGCGCCATTGTGCGCCTGGTGTATATTGAAAAAAAATCGAACCTCGTTTCGTAGCGAAAAGTAGAATGTTTCGCCGTTTCGACTGATTCGCCTCTCTTTCACCGTAAAATTGGCAGACGAGACCGCATGTTGATTCGACAATAGAAAAACTTTATATTTAGAAGTAAAATTTATTTCATAAGATATATATCCCAAACAAAACAATATGATTCAAGGCATTATTCAGCCCGCGGCATAACGCGGTTACCATCGTCAGTACGCAACGCTTCGGAATGCGCTGTTGACGCAAATCTGCATACCGCAATTCAATCAGCTCTCATCCACCGACGTCTTGCTCCGCGCTCGTGCTCGCGCGACCGTACGTGCGTTTAATTAGATCGATTCCCCTTTGCCGAATTCGTCTTGGCGCAACCTCAGTCCTGCCAAGACGTAACGATCCATCATGGCCTCGGTAGGTGTTCGCCATTTAACCCGCTTCCCGCTAGATCACGAAGACGAAGACGAGCCTGAGACGAGGACTAGAAGAGAAGCGGCTAGAGGTGAGACGGGTGAGAAGAGATGGGTGCCGCGTTGATCAAGATTAATCGTATGCAAATTACGCGAGCGTCGGCTAGAGGATTCCACGAGTTCTTGGGACTTGCACGTCCTGGAGAGGAAGGGAGGCGGGCAGGCACGAGGACGTAGGGAAAGATCGAAGACCGCCTCGTCGAGATCATACCGGGATCCCGGGTAATTGAAAAGACACGCGGGAAATTCTGTTCGGGAGTTCCGAACCGGCTTCTGTCGCTGATAAAGAAGAGTGCGGGACTCGCGATATCGATTTTTCGCGCGACGCGACGCGAACGTGACGCTCGGTGAGTACGAATTACATTCATAACGGCGTCTGACGTGGCACTCTATGTGTAGCTTCAAACCGAACGGGTCTTTCTATTCCTCGTTTTCTTCCAGCTCAACATTCTTAGAAATTTTCTTGTAGGGGAAATATTGTGTCATCACTAAAAAATCAGACTCTACACGAATAAAAAAGAATTAACTCCCATAGCGAAAAATAGTTATTCAGGTGATACAATTGAAATTCAGTCACCGGACTTAGTTTTTAGCCGTGGGATCTGATTCTTTTGTCCGTGTACGACTATAGTTGTAGCTGTGTACGACTATAGTCATAGCTGTGTACGACGATAGTCATAAGAATTACCTCTCGCAGGTAAAAACTAAGTCTGGTAACTAAATTTCAATTATGTTATATGGATAGCTAGTTTTTAGCTGTGAGAGCTAATACTTTTTTTCCGTGTAGATAATCGATCGACACCCGAGTTCTAAGCAGCTGAATTTAAATCTCTCAACGTTTTTATACATATAACTTTGCACTTGCGAGACAATGTTTAGTTTGCGCTTCAAACTTTGCAATGTTATTGCGTTATACCTTTCAACACTCACATACTCTCTTTTATTTACATTCTATCGAACGTATGGCCGTAGTTGACTATGTAAAACTATTATATTTGTTTACTATTGAAAAGGATTCAACTAGGGATCGAAATGTCTAGACGAATAAAGCGCATATTTATATCACACACACGCACACACTTACCGTATGATATTAATTTAAAGGATTTTAATCCCGTTTTATCGCACTATGACTTTCGCACATCGGCTCTGTTATTTTTTAAATTCATTTAAATTCATTTTCTTTAATTTATTTAAATTTATTTAAATTCATTTTCTTTCAATCCCCCAGATACCGCAAACAATACGGACACACGTGCTTAGCTCCATAACAATTCTCCGGCCCGTGTTTCGCCAAATGAGTCAATATAAACATGTAACTCTTTCGCTGCGGTTTCAGTCAGTGTTTCCTTTGTTTCGAGCGATCCGCTAAGAATAAATTCACTTCAACTCGAAACGTGGATTCTCTGATTGGTCAGCATTTTCTCATGAGAACAAACACGTATTTTCCTCTCTGTTTTCTACGCTCCAAAAATTCAATCCGTTGAAGCGAGTAGTCGAGATGCCCTTTCTTTTAATTCCAGAATATGGGTCTCGTATAATAAGGTGAACGCCGTAAAAAACAGTTGCGCTGGATCTCAAAGAGAAAGCGTGCCGTTTTTTCCTCATAATGTAATTGGTTCCTGACCGCGAGAGAGTAAGTCTTTTAATTAACGAAGCAATTTTCCCCGGCAGTACCGGAAAACGCTTAATGTTTACTTCGAACGCGACTTCAGTTAGCTGGCCGTTTGCTGAATTTCAGTCTTGGACGCGGTCGCACTTAACAATTTGCGTTAAGCCAGCCCGATTTCGCCCAATGAAGAAGGAAGCAGAACCGAGAGAGAGAGAGAGAGAGAGAGAGAGCGAGAAAATTATCTAATCGAAACACCGCGCAAACAGACTCTTCGTTTCGTGATAAAAGCAGAGGCAGGAAGAACCAGGCAGATCCCGCACTGTTCGCCTACAACTTCTATGTGTCTCCGCGAGCCCGGAGAGCTCGTAGAAAAATCTCTCGTTAAGAATTTGGAAATTTATTTCCGAGCGGGCGAAAACGGAGAAACGAAAGAAAAGAACGACGTAAAGATTTGGGAATATTTTGCTGGAACAAAAGACAAGTCGCAGCCTGGCTAGGTGATCGTCGGTCGTGGCGGAGTGGGGTGGGTCCAGTGTACAAATCCGGCACTTAGGTTTGCCGAGCGTAAACACATACACAGGCAGATGTATGACCGAGTGGCTATAGACACACACTCATATATATGCACGAGTCACGCAACGAGCGTGGTAGATAGTGTAGACGGTGGTATACATAGAGGTTCTGGTGGCAGGGGGGTCAGTGTAAAACTGCCTTTTGCTCGTAACGTTTCGAACGGAGCCGGCCGAGTGAACTGTCGTTTACCGTTCGAGCGGGACTCCTTCGCCACGAAGCCGTATATCCTACCGAGCCGCTATCGCAACGGCTTCTATATCCGAGGGTCCCACATCCCTTATCCCGAAGAGCAGCGCTAGCCTCCGCCACTCTTCGAGTTTGCTGTTGTTCCTTGGGCGGGAGGAGGTGAGTTAGCTACTTGCCGCTTACTAGCTGTTGCCCGTAAAAAGAACGATCGATCTCGAGGAAAATTCGGTTACCGGTCGTCCTTTTACGCAACGTGACGAGGCAAGAGAGGTGGATTTAGCTCGAGTTTCGCGTATGGTAATTGGATCCCGCCGGCGAAACGCGAGAGTCCGTGAAAGATCGATCTGCCGAAGAGTCAGCTGAGAACGATTTCGGGCAAACCGCGGCGGGAGAACACGGATTTACGTATTTCACGCGAAGAAGAAATGTCGGGTTTTCGCATTGGAATTAGCAAACAATGCTTGGTAATCGTCATTTCATCGAGCTCCACGAGGTAAGGAAAAAAATTACACACCCTTGTGCAACGGCTTACATCGAGGCGATCGATACGATACTGGGAGAGATGGATTTCGTTTCGTTTTGCAATCGGTCCTCTCTCGTGCGGATCGACAGAGTTTTGGCTCGAAATAAAATTGCACAGCAAATCGGTGCAGCGGCCAAGCGAGAGACGCTGTTGATCTTTGTATTTCCTTTATTCTTACATACGGTGAATATGGATCGCGGAGCGCGGCCTTCACAGAGCAAAGAGGAATTATGCCAGTTTATGCACGCACAGGACCATCGACAGATCGCAAAAGCTTATCGGCAGGTATTATCGAAAGGTCGATGGCTGTGTGTTGGTAGAAGCGCGATTATACGTATGTGCCCACGGAAAATCGTATGCCATAAATTTGCCTGGCCCGGCCTGGAGGCCGCGGCGCACGTTACACGCGAATAAATCAACGCCGGCGGGCAGCTTGCGGCGAAAAAATTCAATCAAACAAACAAACGTGTCATCGAGCAAGTGTGCACGAAACGAATGATTCGTCGAACGGGAGCTTACCGATGCCGGACGATATTCGCGTCCCTCGGTGTAATACGACGCTCGGTATTATTAAATTTATTGACCGAGGGGATAGAATACGGTACGAGAAAAAACTGACCGACTCGCCGATTTGGTTAAATATTTGAATTTTGAAAACGTATATAATTTGAAATAATCATACATTATTTAACGTTTAATTTGAAAAAGAAGTTTACATACAATCTAAAGTTTGAATACTTTGCCAATTCACTTTTTTAATATCATGCAATTAAATTATAATTAGGGATGTTGTGATACTACTGATATTGATATCGACAATTTTCTTTCGATATTGGGCATTTTTGTATCGATATTTGTTTTCGATATTCGAACCTATATCAGTACTAGTTTACTTATTAAGTTTAAGTTAAGCTTAGTTTCAATATTTTTCGATATCTTTTCTTTAAATTTTTTTATTCAGATCTTCAAGATACCATGTACTTTTACTTCATGGAAATTAATATAACATGTAACTCACGTTTGAAACCTATTTTTTTTAATAATTTCTGTTCATTTTACGGTTATTTATTGATTGCTGAAATAAAAGAAGAGCATCCGAATATTTTTATAAGTATACGAAATCGATCACGAGTTATTTTGTGCGTTGTTTTATTTTCTCGTATACCGCAATAATTTTTAACATTTCTTTGTAATTTCTCGCTTTTAATGTCAATAACAATTATAACGAGAGCACAGCAGGAGCCTTAATATATATTTTTTAAGATTTTTAGGTTCCAATCATAGGAAGTCTGGTACAGAAAGTAAAAACATCTTTAAAATCGTAATATTATTATTATGCGCAGACGTACGAAACTTTTAAAAGTATCTTGCAAGACAAACACTTCCCTGATTTTTATATTTAATCTAATTTTAACTTTTTAAACATTTCGATGCCAGGTCTCAGTCATCGATCTCGACATTTTTGTTCTGATGATGGTATCACTAATGATATCGATATTCTTTTATCAGATACCCGTTTTAATATTAGTATTGATACTTCCATGGCATCATAACATCCCTATTAGATACTCATTTTAACATTAGTATCTATATTTTCATGGTGTCACATCTCTACATGCACTTGCGGTTCCTGGCAAGATGTTATCTTTTGTTATCATACGTCATATATTATATAATCAGAAGTTTTACCCAAAAATCCTACCCAGAAATATTATATTATATAACAAACAGCGCAAAAATCATTATAAATTTTGACTAAACGTTTTACCGTGATGAAAATGTCGTCCTGCTTTTTTATATCTCACTTTTAGCGAAACAGTTGGATGCGATTCGAGATTTTTAGTGCAGATCAACGAACATGTTTTTCCATTAATAACGCGCATTGCAATATCACAGATGAAAATTTTGCATTCGGACAACGTGGAATGATAGTGCATTCTTTATTTCCGCGGACTCACACCTTCGACCTTTGTAACTAATCAATGACTGGCACGTATTTTTCCTTCAACTGCGGCGCGATTACGCGAACGCGTGCAAATAGGTGCATTCAGCGCCGTACGGCCACGGGCCATGTCATACGTGAACGAGTCCATCACACTAATCAGTGTGTATATGTCGTACAGAAACTTAAAATAACTATTGGCCAGCCTTGACCCGCCGCGAGACCGATAATAACCAGATGATATACCAACGTGATCAAACTGTGAGATTCCGTGTGAGTGCGGACGCGATGCGCCAGATTGATGCCGTTCAATCAGTAAATTGATATTGTTTCATTTATTCGGCTGCTGAATAATGTGCCATTTAATTGCAAATACGTCCTAATTAAACGACATTTCATCTAATTGCGCTAAACATACAAGTTAAATATCAATTAATTAATGGCATAATTTCACTCGTGATGTTACCGCGAGAGAGATGCACCTGCGGCAAAGTTGCTGCGCCCGGCTCGCTTCCTTCACGCGCGTGCCGCGCGGCGTGATTTGATTTTCGCATAACAGCTCCCCGCGAATTTGCCCGGACGTCACTTGGTCTGCAAATATTGATAATCAAAATGAAGTATTGGCATCACGGTCAAATTTCAGCCGGCTGGCCTGCCTAGAACACCGGACGACGCACGCTGTGCTAGTCGGGAAACATCGATTTCGCTAACTCTCGCCGCGTATTTACAGAGGACCAAACGTATTTTTCACGCCGTGGCTTTCGTCGACGGTTACGCGAGCGCGCGCGGAGGGGGAGAGTCGGGATCAACGAGTTTGTTTTATATGCTCGCAATCGCGCAATCGAGAGCGTTTTACCGCGTCGTTCGACGATCGCGTTCAAATGTCAAACGCGACCCGGCGCGCATCGCGTTCGCGCAATTTTCGGGCATAGCCGAATTATCAAAATTTCAGTTCTACATTAAATCTGTTTAGTTCTACATTGAGTCTTCAAAGGTCCCCCACCGCTCGATACTACAAGTGGGAAGTTATTTCCGTTTGCTCAACACGACGAGTTAACGTAGAATTAAAAATTTCATCCCGGGAGGTCTAAGTTCTTTTTGTAGCGTCAAAGGAGCATATTAGCTACAAATGGGAAATGATTTCCGCTTTCTTCACTCGAAGACTTAACGTAGAACTAAAATTTGGACTCGGACTCGCGCTCGCGAGACGCGCTTCACGTCGACGGACGAGGAAGGACGAGACGGTGATCCTCGCCGGCCGCGCTGTAGGCCGCGTTGTTTATCCGCCTTCATTAGCGTCATTTTGCGAAACGTGTCTCGAGGTGTCGCGCGCGCCATGTCATCCGCGTTTTACCGCTGGAAGAACGCGTCTACGGAGGATTTCGGAGTCGAAGAGGCGAAACGTCGCTACGTGACGTTTCCCGACAGCTATCGCGCCCCGTCTCGTCCTTCTCGCTCCCGACGCCGGATCCAGACGCCCAGGATAGTTCGCCCCTCCGTGATCTCGGGGGAACGTGCGATGCATGTGTCGGCCGGGCGCTTTAGACGAGAGAGACGAATCTTATTCAATCCGCGGTAATCCCCGCGCGCTCGACGCGTATCCCTGGGATGCTTTTGACAGCGCTGCTCTCGCGAACGGATCGATTATATGACGTAACCGCGGCTTTCTCAGAACGAGATCGATTTTACGACCTGACGCAGCCCGACTCCAGGCCAGGCTTTATCATGTTTATCACCTCGATAAGCGAACCCCGGTAAAAGCAATGGGAATTTCGCGGCGATGGCGCCGCGCACACGCTTTCTCCGCGTAATTATCGTTGAGTCATTCGTCGACCCGACGTGTGATATCGCGCGACGATCGTAAAAGCCGAAACGGCTGTTTCGTCCGCAATAAGTGTGTTCCCCACACGTCGCGGATAATTTATTTAGAAGTTCGCGTTACGCTCGCGTCGCGTTTGATCGCGCGAATACACGTAACTATGAGCTGGCAATTAGCGCGAGTAATTTCAGGATATTATCTATCGATCCGTCAGACGCTCCGCCGAGCATGTTGTAAAGGCGATAGGCTCGCCGCGGGAATATATACAGGAAGGGCGAGCCCGTATAATTCGCAATATATATATCCAAGTGGCAACCAGAAAACAAGCGGGCAGGATCGCCAGTCGGGCCTGCGCGCTCGTGCGATTCGCGCTTCGCCGGCTTCGAGAAGTTCGTTCTTCGAGAAAGATCTCTGGTGACGAGGAACGAACTATCGATCGCAGCCGACAGGAAGAAGGCTGGCAGGAAGGAAGGTTTCCGGTACGCGCGTGAGTGAGGTTTCGCGGAGTCGCGATACTCCTCGCCGATAGCCCCTCGTCGTATCGGAGTCCCTCTTAGGACGTTATGCTCTTAGATTTCTACCGGCGGTGGTCGATACACCGGATAATAACGCTCGGCTGCTACGTAATAGCAGCCCGTTATTGCCGCTACCATGCTGACGCTGTAGAATATTCATCGACGAGCTTTCATCAACGCGTTCCTCCTCTTATTCGGCAAGCACGAAATCGATTCTCCCCGCGTGTAGATACTTGAGAGAATTTACGCAAACGTTGAAGTGAAACGTATAGGCGGAACACGCGAGGTAAATTGCCGATACACGGGGAAAAATCATTTGCTGGCACGGCAAATTTTATACCGCTGTAGCAAAAATTCGCCAGTTACTACGTGGACAGCAAAACGATTTGTTAAGAGTACCGATCGCCATTCGCTGCGCTGCGAAAAAAAAGTACTGCTTAGAAATTTATTTGTGGGATAAGGGTTTATTTCATAGAAATTGCTTCCTTACGAGGGCGGTCCGATAAGTATTTAGCCTACAAAAGAAAAACGAACATTTTGGAAAAGTGGCGATTTATTTCTCAACATAGTCTCCTTTTAGCTCGATACACTTGACCCAGCGATGCTCCAACTTCTTTAACCCATCTGAAAAATACGTTTTCTCGAAGTCTGCAAAGGCCTCCGTGGCGGCGATGACCTCCTCATTCNCTTTGCAGACTTCGAGAAAACGTATTTTTCAGATGGGTTAAAGAAGTTGGAGCATCGCTGGGTCAAGTGTATCGAGCTAAAAGGAGACTATGTTGAGAAATAAATCGCCACTTTTCCAAAATTTTCGTTTTTCTTTTGTAGGCTAAGTACTTATCGGACTGCCCTCGTATGTCCCTCTCATATACCCTCCGCAAATAAAATTCCACGTACTTTTTCTCGATATGGATTATTTCGCTGAATCCACAAATTGTTTTGATGTGGAAACAAATTAGTAATGTAAAAAACGCTATTGTTTTTCGTTCTAACAGCAAATTAACACGTTCCAGTCGCGTTTCTAATAAGAAAGAGAAAATATCTCTCGGTATCGGTCCGATACGAAAGCCGCGGTCTTCTATCTCTTCCAGCGTCTCACCGCGAGATACCATCGTGACGGGAAGGAAAAAATGCGACGAGGTTACCGCGGACGCTGATAGGATACTTCCATTGAAGGGAGGAATATGACGGTCCCGCAATATCCTCTCGTACTCCCGCCATTTCCTCAACCCGTTGACGAGCATTATGAGTTTCACCACCATGAGGCTTCCTCCATTTTACCTGATAATATCGTATCGACCGTTGTCGCTCGAACCGGGAGCCTTTGTGCCGAAAGGAGGCTGATTAAAGGGCGATGTAGGAGCTACCTGCTGATCGCGCAAGGTTTCCGGGCCTGCTCGGGAAACGCTCGTTGAGCAACTGCGTTGATATTTTATTTAAGTGCGTAGCGACTGTTGGACGTATGCACGCATTTCTAAGGTGTGCTGGAGAGATGTACGACAATTTACATTGCAATTTATGGAAATAGAGAAACAAACGCGCTTTTCGGCGTCCCGAAGCTCCCTCGAGGTACCTCACCGATGATACCTTCTTCCCAACCGGTTAGATCCTGGCGGGAGATTCCGCTCGAGAGACTTTACCTAATATTTCCCAGCGTATGTAAGGGGAACGATCAACAATGCCATGGACTGTACGAATACAAGAAGACCAGGACGACGACGATAGGAACGACGACAGCACGTCGGGGGCGAGAGAAATTGAAAATGCGAGGAACGCCGCGCCGTGTTTTGTTATCCGTCCGGCGAGATTTCGGTCGCGATGTTTAACCGAGATATTCCGAAGTAAAGAAGCGGGAGGATCGCGCCGCTCTGCATTTTCTCACGAAAGGATCCCCGGCGTCTAGACGCGCATCCCTCACGTATTTCACGGCCCCGGGGGCGTTTGCAGAATTCTTGTTTGCGACGAAGAAGACCGCGCGGCGGCGAGGGGCGAGCGAAATTCGCGAGAGACGCGGCCACGCTCGTCGAAGACTCGTCGTCCTGGTTGTCCTCCTCCCCTTCGCCCTCGTCTCGCGGAGGTGGCGGAAAAGTTCGGAATACAGCCCCGAGGTGGCGAGCAGCCGAGGGGATGATTGATAGCAAAAGAGAGAGAGAGAGAGAAAGCGGGCACGCGGGCGCGCGTCTCGCGCCGCACAATGGGGAGCAGAAATATGAGACCGGAATAAAATTCATGGCCGTTGCCAGGGGAGACGTTAGGCCGCGATTGAGATGCAAATAAGAACGAGACACCCGGTAGCGACGACTTCATGGCGGGCGGCATCTCGGTAACTCGTTCGTTCCGACGGCGTTCGCGGAAGGGAATTTTTTATGAGCTCGTGAAGAGTCGCTATCTGTGCCGAAGTTTCGAGAGCTTCGGGGATTTTTCCCCGAGCGCCAACGCGTCGTCCGCTCGAACGGGGACCTTGCGCGGCTCACAAAGACGGTCACGACGAGGCGCTTCCGTCGCGAACGCACCGAACGATCGGTTGTCTACCTCTCGAAGGTCGCTCGAAACGGGTGTGCATTACGCGAGAGGAGGATGTCGAAATATGGGCGCACGATGTCTCTCGATACCACGGGGTCTGCGTGTGTTAATAAAAAAACTTTCAAAGATCGTAAGACGGCGCGAAACCACTTCGGAAAGCTACGCGTGAAATAACATTGATTTTATGTATCGTGTAATGGCGAGCCTAAAGTGCACTTGTGAGCTTCGTATTCCTTTCGTCTCTTTTTTTTCTTCACTGATTCGCGATCTTCTCCTTCGCTTTTTTTCAGGTCAGCCTTTGCAGCCGTGAATGGATACCACTATCGTCGGCTGAGAGGCCCGTTGAAGGTGTTCTTCGAGCTGCTGGCGCGAACACATAGCCCGTACCCGATGAGTGTGAGTGTAACCCACTCGCTCCGCGAATGCTCGTAATTGCCCGTTAACAGACGCGCGCGCTCATTATCTAATTACAGCACGCGCGCCCGTTTTCCGCGAGATGGCCATTATACTAATCGCACATCATCCTTCGACCGTTAATCGTCATTTCGAAGCGTCGTTCGCGACGCTTTACGAGCCCCGCACGGCAAATTCGCGAAGCGGATTAACCGCGCGCCACTGTCTCCTCCTTCCTCATTCACCGCGACTACGTTACGCCAGTCTTCCGCGATTCATCGCCTTCGACAAAACGCAGATCACGCCGCTTTCCTCTGGTTTCCTTCCTTTCTTCTTATACTTAACAAAATTACACGCGTTATTTTCGTATTTTCGTGAAAATCGGTCAGGAGTGAAAAAACACGAGAGAGACAGAAAGAAAGAGAGTGAGGGGGGAGACCTAGTTGAAATTGAACTTCGCGAGTACCTCGTGAGTAGACAGTAAATTTGTACCTAACGTCGCTATTAGCCAGTAACGTAATTCACTTTTCCCAGTAGTTAGATAATGCATAGATGAATAAGTTAGGCTGATGGTTAAACGAAGGAAACTACAGTTACGAGATGGAAAAATCATAACTAGTTGTCGGCCAGTAATACAACGTTCATTTCTGCTTTCTGCAGATTTTTATGGGATAACGCACACTCTCAATTTTTATTTACTATCTCATTGTCAAACGTTTTTAAATACTAGAAGCGGGTATACAGCAGCTAGATTATATATTTTAGAATAGATGTAGCGCAATTTATACACCATCATATTCTATATGTAACGACTAGACTTAGGCAACGACTGGATCATAAACCCGATTTTACATTTCAATGAATAATCAGGCAATATCAGGAATTAGTAACAAGTTAGAACATTTAATCCAGCCTGTACTAGGTAACTATTAATTTTCGACTCAGGTAGACTGGATACATTTCTACTCAGGGAGGAGAGCTGCACGTGCGCCCTTTTTCGCCTCATTATCGCGCGACAGATGCGATCAAGTTAAGGCGATTCCGCGGGTCAAATTAAGTCCGGTAAAAGCCGGCTCGAGAGAATGTCGCTGCCGTTACTACGGCAAACTCTGCTCGCTATAACGGGCGTTGCGTGTACCTGCGCTACCGTAGCACCTCTAGCTCGTTCCCTATTGATCGCGCGGGATTCTAAGCGCCGTAAGAAACTACATAAATTAATCACGGAGCCAGAGACTCGCCGCGGGCCTTTAAATACATCACGTCGCTGCCGGCGGTATTACGAATTAAGGATAATTAGAGGAATCAAGAGGGCGCGCACCAGCGGCGTTTCGTCTCGTCGATGATTTATTTATTCGTTCTTTCGATTTATTTACTCTCTCATCATTTTGACGAGCGGGATAAACGTGTCCTCCATCTTCAATAGCAGTTCGGAAACATGAGAAGGTATATCAATTAATTAAAGTAAACGATGCAGCTGGCAAGCTCTCTCGGAGCCTGTCACGCCGGCTCGGCAGGAAATTAAACGATTGAAAAAAATTGGGGCGAATAGCTTTTTCGACCTTAACAAATTAACCCCTTGCATCGTACGCACGATGTCGCGGTCAATTCGCTACGAGGAATTCACGCGACGCGATACAAAATGGAAGCGTGGACAGAAATCGAGCGCGATTACGCACGCCTGTATCTACGTTCTCGAGTGATATTATCTCGGGGGAGAGAGCAGAGGGATCTGATTGAAAGGAATTTCTCTGAAGCTCAGATAGATGACGCCCGGCCTCGGGTAACTTGATTCGCGATATGATGAACGACATATCGTGGACGGGGTACACCTTAATTCATAATGTGATAAATGAGTATCGTGAACACACGAACAACGTCGCAGACGGCGTCAATAATCTTGCCGGCGCATCACGGAATTGCTTGGCCTATACGTCAGACAACGTTTTTTTTATCGTGTTTCAGGTTCGATTGGCGGGCGGCCATATGGTGAAGCAGAGGAGGTTTATCGGGAACACTAATAACAAAATGATCAATATACGAGAACATTTATAGACGCTCTAAACGGTTGTGTGACTAGTACAATCCCGATGTAAAAGTCGAGTCACCGGGGGTACCGAGAGTGTGGGTTTGTACGTTCCCGAGCGGAATTTCTTCGAAAATATCGACGGGTTCAGGTTGCAAACGCGAGACGCGTTATCGCGCGTTGTATAAAATAAAGAGTTACAGGTTCGACCACGGATCGTGCGCGGAGGATATCCCTCTCAGCAGGAAGAGAGCCGAATGCTACATAGATTCACGCAAATATAAATGAGATTTCCTCTTCTATTGCCCGGACTTGAGGAAGGCTCTTACATTTTATCATAACGGTGAGTAAAACGGTGACGCTTGCCGAGTCGAGATTTTAGTCCTACATTAGTCCTACACAAGTCCAGCTTAGTTAAATCTTTAAAAGTCTTCTATCGTGCCCCTTTCATGCTACAAATGAGCAGTTATCGCTATTTTCTCCACTTGAAGACTCATTGGGAAACTAAAACTTCGAGTATGTTTCAACGTCTGTCTGCGGCATTAAAGAAGCACTTTAAATTATGAATAAATTATTGCACGGTTAAATCTTCAAAGGTTTCCTATCGTGCTCCTTTGATGCCACAAATGGGAACGTATTTCCGTTTTCTCCATTTGAAGATTTAACGCAGAATTTAAAATCTCGACTCGAATGTGACGAATTATTCGCCGAAACCTCTTCGACGTCTCGTTATGAACTTTATGATCCGTGAAGTGAAAAGGAAATTTTTGGTCGGTACTTCGACGGACTCGCGCTCTCGTCGAGTTTGCACAACGTCGCGAAGCGCTTCGAGATGAGCGTCGTAGAAAGTTCACGAGGTCGAGCGCGGGATGAGGAAGAGAATATCCTTCGATTGTATATACGAGCCGCGTATGCCGAACTGTACTGTAACTGAGCGTAAACGCGACTCGCAGCGAGAGCCGCCGGGCAGCGCTCGATAGTCGAGTAGATTTAATGCGGCGCTGTGGACTTGGTACTCCGGGCTGCTTCGCGCGCGTAGAAGCTCTTGAGCCACGAACGAGAAAAATGGTCTAGATGCGATTGCGCTTCGAGGTTCCGTGGAAAACGCTCAGGAATGCAAATGCGAGATTGAAGCGAATGGAAATTTTAGCCGGATCCTTGTAAAAATATTTCACCGCTTTTATATCGCCTCTCATATTGCCCGTTGGTTCCGGCCTGTTGATTTTTACGTCCGTTTCTCGTACTTTCAAGCATGCGCGGTCTATTAAGTAAAGGAATATAACGAGTGCTCGCGAGTGTTCGTAAAGTATTTTCGAGGAGATTACCTGTCTTCAATAGTCGTTTTTCAGCTAATAAGTGGGAGCACGTTAATACGTTCCTCTTTTACTCAGTTTCGTTTCAATACGGAAAGAAGCACGTTGAAAAGTCTTGCATTCACTTCAAAATGCGTAATGTGAGTGCTTGTAAGTGTTGAACCGGTATTTTATACTCGTAGCCGAATGTACTGCATTCACACACTTCAAATTTACGCGGTATTATACGTTTTTACTACTCAAAAATACTTAATAGTTTATACCACTCGGATATACTCGTATAATTCACTATAATCCCTCGTTTTTGTGAAAAATAGCCACTATCCGACCTAAAAATGGGATCGTACTCAGCTGAATGCACGCTTTTATTTCTCAAACTGATCATTCTTACGGACTAAAAACGGTGAAATATTTTTGTAAGGGGAGCTTCGCGTGGACGATCAGCGGCGGTCTCAGACAATGGTGCAACGAACAATCGGCAAATCTCGTGACGATATTCAGCGACGTCGCAGAAACGAGGAATTAAGCCAATTTATAGCAATTCAAACGCGGATCGCGAAGAGACAGGCTGAATAATCGCAATAATCCGTCTCGGTTGTCGAACGGTAAACAAATCAGTCAAGTTTAACGTTTGATGCGGCGATAATTTGTCACCATTTCGCGTGCATTTCTTAAGCATGCCGTTGTCGCGACCGATAATTGAGACTGATCGATTATTCAGACGAGAGTCCGTATTCGAATGCGCTCAGCGCGAAACAAATGATAACGAGAGTAATCCCGTTCTCTCTTTTCCTTTTTGTTACAGATTTTAGATACGATCGTGCGAAGGGACGGAGAAAAAAACACGAGCTAAAGTAGTCGAGTAATAGTCACGTTATTCAGTTCGTTCATAATTTTCGCGGCATATTACCGCAGAGATAGAGAGAAAAGGAAAAACCGACAAATTTGCATATCGCAACCGGACAAACACACGGTCGTGTGTCGTGTGAGAAACGGACGGCGCGCTTTAATTTACGAAGTACAAGCAATTTTCGACTCACGCGCCGAGCCAGGCGGAGCTTTTCATCATAATGGTAAGTGATATCTCGTAATTCACGCAAAATCGTCTCCGCATGCCCCTCGAGTTACAGTCGCGATTTACAAAGTAGCTCGCGCACTCCGAGAAATCTTTTCGGAATTAAAAAGGAGAACAAGTAAAACCGACGTGAACAGAATAAGCACCGTCATTGCGTGCGTAAGATTTTGTTTATCGCGATCGTTAAATCGCAGTTCCGCGGCTTTACATAACTCGATATGCGCAACGGTAGCCGGTACATATTGCGACGTGCAGCCTATTTACATGGTAAGTATATTCAGAGTGGCTCTCTTCAAGTCGACAACCTTCCCCATGGTCAGCGAGTGAACGTCTTACGGATTCGTTCGGCCACTCCGGCCTGCTTGTCGAACCAATGGAAATTTCCTCTCGATTCGTAGATCGTCCCGAAAGATTTATACCTCGCCCTGCCGGCGGCTATATTCTCGTGCGCGCGGAACTGCTTGTCATTCATGTAAATTCCAAGGGGATTACGTTCGCGTGGTTCCTCCCATTAATCAACGTTTCCTGTTGCACTTAGCAGATCAGCTTGCGCGCCGAACCGCCGCGCGAGCCGTGCAATTCAATTTGTTCGGAGCGCATTTTCGCAGACGATCTCGAGGAAAAGCCCCTCGCGCGTGCTAAAAAAAAAAAAAGAGTGGCGCAAGGTCACTCGAAGTCGATGGGGGTAGTGGGGGTGCGCGCGCGCGCCTCTTAATTGTGACTTGCGGGAACCCGACGATGACACGGCGTAATGTTGTTGCTTGCGTAATGCGTATGCATCGCCAGGGCTGACACAGAATATTAACCTGTGAAATTGATCGTGCCACGCAGTTTACCGCGAGCGCGGAGCAACAGGCGCTTTCGTGCGCTGCGAAGGCGAGAAGAGGCGTGTTTCATTTGGCGCGAACTGCTTTTGCGAATCCCGGCTGTGAACAAGTGATCCCGCACGAGTCCCATTGACTCTCGTCGTAATAATAACGATCGGATATGAGATACACTGGGCGAGAGAACGCGGCCATAGTGGATGGAACGCAAACTTCCGTCCGTTCGGGACAGATCTCGGCTTGTGTTACGTGTCAGATCGTAGATAATGTATTCCGTAAACCGAGCGCCTCGTAAATACGATCCCGGCGAGGAACCGGACAATTAAAGCAGCGTTTCGCATGACCGATAAAAGTGCGCGCGCGCTGTTCACCGTAGTCGTTAGATGAGAAACGAGACCGACATCGAGTAAACATTCCTCTAACGGAAATTAATATATGCGAGAGAGCGTCTGTTGTCTGAACCTGTTTTTACCGAAACAACGGACTTCATCACCGCCGTAGAATATCGAGCGGTTTCGCAAAGTTATGAGCTCCGTTATTTTCGCAGAACGTTTTTTGCCGAGGCATCGCTTATTATTATTCCCTTCTCTCGAACACGCGAATCGCGCATTTCCCCCCCGATAATCGTCGGGCGATTTTCGCGATCGCGAGTTTTTTTCGGCGCGTTAATAATAATGGCGAGAAATAAGTTTTTTCTTTTAAGAAATTCGTTGAAGCTTGCGCTATATGTAGATTTAAATATAACCTTCGCGAAGAAAAGAATTAGCTCCCACAGTGAAAAAACTAGCTATCTATATAACGCAACTGAAATTTAGTTATCAGACCTAATCTTTAGCTATAGAAGTTAATTTTTTTCCGTATAATTATCGGAGTAATTAAAAAACGATTAATCATTCGAAAGCTGAGATATTCGCAACTGAAAATAACACTTTTTATATGTGTTCCCTGAGGTTATATAATGTTCTATTTTTTATTTTTTATTTTTTATTTTTTCTAAACTTTTCTACATTCAGGATTTTTAATGAAAAACTATTATTGCATCTCTATTAGATCAACTAATGCATAGAAATAGCGTTAATTAAAAAAGTAAAAAATAATATTTTCATATTTGTAATATTTCGTATATATGCATAGGTCAATTTCGTTTTAAATTAACTTGTATTATTTAAATAATGAAATAAATATACAGGAACGTAATTTTGCTTGATAAATACGAAAGTTATGAGTGAAATTTTTGAGCTCTTGATATGCCACTGAAAATAAGGTACTCAGCGTTATTACTACTCAATATGCGAAGAAGGGCGCGTAAAACTGACGATTTAGTTATTTATTCGGTCGCGCATGAATTCGACTCACGATCAACGCAGTGAAAAAGTAAGAAAGAATAATAGACGCACCTTTGGCTTCGAATTTCTCTTTTTCTCTCCTATGGGCACGCTTGAGACGCGCGCTAAAGATCCGCATGAGATGTGATCATAGGCCTAAAACAACCCAGAACAAAAAACTGTTGATCGGAACATGAAAGAAAATGTATGTTTACTCTTAGTCGGGGAGCTCGTACGTTGAAAAACATTTTTTGATTTTTTGCGCTTTCGGTTCGACTTACAGAATTCTTCTTCTGGAACAATGTTTGGAACAACTAGAACAATCTGTAACGATAAAGATCTGTCTGATTTTTTAAAAAGGGGGCCAACTAAAAAAACAGTTTTTTTCGTTTTATTGGCGAATCGTTTGAAATGAAATAATCACTTTGAAACAATATAGTACAAAGTTAGAACAACCTGGAACAATATTCAAAAATAAAATTTTCAAAAAAGGAGGGGCAACTTCACATACACGCATGAGTTTCCGGCTGATTCACTGGTTAATCTGCACGACCGCGAAATTCCGCTACAAATTCTTCCCGGCCCCCCGCGAGATGTCTTATTTCGTTCATTGGCACAGAAACGGCGTGACATGTTTGCCGCTAACGCTCGCTAAGGTAGCGATTAATCCACTTTCATTGTTTCCGGCGATTGCTATCTACCTACATCATGCAAGAAATTTCGCGCGCGTTGTTAAATCTTGGGACAAAAGCGACACGCGAGTTCGAGCACTATCCATTATTATTTCGATGTAAGATAAATTGTCGGCGGAAAATGTGCCTCGCGCGGATTGCCGCGAATTTGGATTCGGACTTTCCGCTGTTTGGTCAATCGATCGGGATCTCACGAAATGTAAAAGAACGGACACAAAAAATCCTTTTCTTCTCATAGTAAGGTAAAGTATCATGATTTCGTGATTTCTAATTGTACACGAAAAAAATTAGTATCAATTCAAAATTCATGTACAAGCAAGAATATATAATTTATATGAAGATAAAACTTGCTCATACATGAAGAAAAATTCAATATAGTTCCATTAAAAAGATTATATTCTTGTTATGCAAGAATAGTTTTCATAAATTGAGAGGGAAAGATATTGAATAGAAGAAACGATATCTTCAAATTAAGAATTGTATCAGTTTGAAGATATCATTCTTCCTATCTAATATTTTTCCTCTCAATTCGTAAAAATTATTCTTGAATAACGAAAATATGATACTTTTAGTGCAACAGTACAGAATTTTTTCATGCAAGAGTAAATTTTATCTTCATATAAAACATTATACACTCTTGTTTATATATGAGAATATGAGCCTTGAATTGGTACCAATTTTTCTTACGTATGCGAAAGAGAGGCAGAGATCAGTTATACAAAGAGTCATTTTTCATTGCCGTCGGGCAATATTCGCGCAGGTTGCGTTCCGATATTCACTGCCAATATTGAAAATCCATAATATACGTAACATGAGAACTACAGATTTTCAGTATCGCCAGTAAATATCGGAACTTAGTCTCGATTCGAAACGTCTGATAGAAACGTCTGACAGAAACGTCTGATAAAAACGTCTAATTATCGCATCTATACCGTATCGTTACAAAAAACGGGAAACCAGTTTGAGACATAACATATGAGAAAGAAGTAGAGAGAGAAAGAGAAAGAGATAGGGAGGCAGGAGGAAGAAGTTACACTAGCACGAGGTTGACCGTGACTAATAAGCGGTCAAGCCGACCTTGTACTCACAACAACAGCATTTAATCGACGTCACGAGGCGTGCTGGTCACCGGCATAACGCGCGAGTGAACAGCGCGTTTTTCCACGGCGTTTTTCAGTCTGGTAAGAGCAGTTAGGCGAGGCAGAATGTAGCGGGCAACGGCCGGGCTCTCTCTCGACAAATCGCTCACAGAGCGCAAAATGAGCTCGCTCCTCTCTCTCTCTCTCTCTCTCATTCACTTTCTCTCCCTCTCTCCTCCTCTCTTCACATGACCCGCAACGCGCTGCGCCACCGGTTTAACGCGACCACGTGGAAAGCTCACGTGCGTCAGCGGTTTTCCGTATCTCCGGCCCGGTCCCGTGTTTTCCACTGCGCGCTCGATTAAACGGCCCACAATTTCGTTCGAAACTACCGCGGGAGAATAATTAGCGGTAATGCGAGTCGCGCGGAGCGGCTGTACCTGTGCTATTAGTATGCCTCATAGGGGCGATAAAGCCGCTGGCGATAAAGCGCCGTCTCTTTATCGTTCGGGAAGAACACATTGCGGATGTGTCGTGCTGCCAGTCAAGACTCCGATTCGCGCGTAAATCGCGCTGAACCGGCGAGCCGGGATGATTAACCGAAGCGACTCACCGGAGGCGATTTGTAGTCACACAGGTGATTTATTCGCCCGCGATATTACGCGCGCGGTTGTAAATTCGGTATTGTTTTTTGCACGTGGCCATCGGCTCGCACACGTGTGGCGGAAAAGGCTCGCGAAGCACGTCGAGGACCTCGCTCGCTGTGTGTGTGTGTGTGTGTGTGTGTACCGTTCCGTAATTAATGGCTGCCAATCAACCGTTACAAAGTTCAATCTCGGTAGAAACGCAGAGCACGCGCGAATCGCGTCTTGTCACGTTTGCGTCCGACAAAGGGAAGACAAAGAATTTGCTACACATTCTTCCGGCGTCTCTCCTCATACGGAAGAAACTCGTTTCCTTTGACACACCGCGAAACAAAGAACGTCGTCGCTAATTCCCCACTCTCTCATAGTCATAATCCGATATGGAGCGCGATGAGGAGCCGCGCGTGGAACCTCGACTGCAACTTCCAATTTGA